GCTTCTTTGTGTGGACTGTGATGCTCTGTTGTCTCTGAGGCATTGTGACATTTTTGTGTTTATATTTAATTGGTGATTATATATTGGAGTGACTTGCCCACAATTTTCGTTTTCTTTGTTTTGTTTGTATGTTATCTATACAAGCAGGGTACTGTGCTGTGCTCCTCTAGTCACTAGCTGACAGCACTTATACACTCACCACCTGTCTCTTTTCCTTTGTCAGCCTCTCGTATGTCCTTGCCAACCCTGGAAAACAGAGCCTGTTCTTAGGTCCCTGGAATCCAAATGAGAATGCTATCACTTTAAAATCCAAAATGGCTGCCACTTGTAAACATTCAAAATGGCCACGCTCTCGGTCACTTTAAATATCCAAAATGGCTGCCGCCTGTAAACATTCAAAATGGCTGCACCCTCCAGACAGCAGAAAGTCCACAGCTCAGGTTGTGTCCTTCCTTGCTGTTTCCCTTCCTAGTCATAGGCCACCAGAGCAGTTGTCCCTGCAGCCCTTGGAAACCAGGACTGATCTTTAGGTCAATTCTTAGGTCCCAACACCACTTGGAAATATGCAGGCTGTTGGTCTCATCAGAGTAGCTGACAGTATGCAGCCCGACCTTCTGTGTACTCACTGTTTTCGTTCAGGTTTTTCCACTTGCTGTTGTTGTTGTTATGTGCCATTGAGTTGGACCCAACTCATAGTGACCCCTCCTTGGGTTTCCAAGGCAATATCACTACAGAAGTAGATTGCCCCATCTTCCTTCCGAGGAATGGTTGGTGGGTTTGAACCGCCAGCCTTCTGGCAGAAGTCTCGGTTTTTCCACTAGTTGGTGCCTAATCCACTTCTGTATAGTTCCTTTCAAAGCTCAGGGTTCCAGGATTATCGTCTGTATCTCTGTCAACTTGTTTTTCTTTTCTTTGTTGAAGATGGTCTGTGTTGCTTGTCTGCCTATTCCTCCATCTTACCAGAAGTCCCTAAAGGAAATATTCTGAAAGATACTGCATAAGAATTTTTCCAGAATTGAAGGAAAGCATGTGTATTAGTTCTCTAGTGGTGCTATAACAGAAATACCACAAGTGGATGGCTTTAACAAACAAGAATTTATTCTCTTACAGTTTAGTCTAGAAGTCCAAAATCAGAGTGCTGACTCGAGAGGATAGGTGAAGACCCCTTGACTTTCAGCTTCAGCTCTGCCTCTTGTTTCAGCCCCACTGGAGCTGGAGACATCTCCTAACTCAGGCAGCTGCTAGCTGCTGAGGCTGACAAACCAAGGTCAGCAGGTAAAATGACACAATCCCAAGATTGGTAGGCAATACAGCAGGTCACTGGTTCAAGTCCAAGAATTGGAGATGAAGCCTTGGCCAAATGCAGGATCCAGATGGGCCAAAATGCTAGAAAGCTTTCTCAAAGCTTCTCCATATATACTGGAAGCAGGCCACACACTAAGGCAACTAATCAGCTGCTCACAGCAGATTCCACCATGGAGTTGATTATAGCACATCCAGTCTCATTATGGGGGATAACTACATCCAGCTGCCAAGCAACTCAAAACCATGGCCCAGCCAAGGTGACACAACCTTAGCTACCACAGCATATAATCTCAATTCAGGAAGCACAACAAATACAAATACAAAGAAGGAAAAATAAAAAGAAATATACACTGCTAACCAGAAGGCTGGTGGTTCAAATCCACCAACCACTCCTCAGAAAGAAGTTTGGGCGATCTACTTCCATAGTAATACCACCTCAGAAACCCAAGGAGGGGTCACTATGAGTTGGATCTGACTCGATGGCAGTGAGTTTGGTTTGTTTGGATATCATAGTGAGAGATGTAGGAAGAATGGTGACCACCCAAAAAGACATGTCCATGTTCTAATTCCCAGAACCTGTGAATGTGACCGTATTTGGAAAAAAGAGTCCTTAGCAATGTAATTAAGTAAAGTATACAATATTGAGCTCATCCTGTATTTATAGCAGGTACTAAATCCAATGACAAGTGTCTTTATAAGAAAAAGATGGAGGGAGATTAGATACACAAATACATGTGAAGATCCATGTGAAGACAAACACAGGAACTGTACTTATACTATCACAAACCAAGGAATGCTGGGTACCAACAGAAGCTGGAAGAAACAAGGACAGATACTCCCCTAGGGATTCTGAAGACAGTATGGCCCTGCCAACACCTTGATTTCAGACTTCTGGCCTCCAAAACTGTGAGAGGATTAATTTCTGTTGTTTTAAGCCACAAAGTTTATGGTAATTTGTTAAGGCAACACTAGGAAACTAATACAGTGAAATTACAGAATACTTCAAAGCCAAAGAAAATATATTAAACAATTAGAAAACAAAAAAGAAATTAACACTAAAACTGTAGAACATAATTGATCTTTGATAATTCTGAAATATCTCTGTAAGTTGAAAGTTTCTTAGGGTCATTGTTAAAACAGAAGAAATGTTAACAGACAGCACAGTAATAAAAGTATTGGTTTAGAGGGGGAAAATCACAATCTGAAAGGATCTCTTATTCTGTATAAGAAGAAGGAAAAAAAGAGAAGAAATAAATGATGGTCTCATTTTAATTACTGAACTAAAATGTAATATTTGAGGGCTAAGGACACCATTCAAACGTGAATGAAGTATTTCCACAGTGACACAAGATTGACATAATTGATCTCACTGAAATGTATATATGTGAAAAATGTTGAACTGGCAAATATTTTATAACAAAAAAAATAATAAAAATCTTAAGAAGGAAGTATTTCCAATTCTTTACCTCAGATCTTTTACTAAGCAGTTGTACTTGTAAACTTTGCTTTCTCTTGACTTTGTCAGCACATTTTTCTTCACATACGAATACTGATGTTTCATACCTAAAGTGCACAGAAATTGGAAGAATTCCTGAGTTGCTTTTTTTCCTGCTTTTCTGCTTTTTAGATTTGAATTATGAAAATTTTCAAACATACGCTAAAACACAGAGAATAATATGATGACTCCACAATGTACCCATTCCCCCAGCTTCAGTAATTATCAACTCAGGCAATCCTGTTTCATCTGTATCTCTATTCCTGCTCTCATCCATTATTACTTTAAAGGAAATCCCAGTACCTTCCCACTTTTCCTAATACTTTTATGCATCTCGACAAGGTGTTTTTCTTTAGAAAAGCATATGGATAGTATCATTATGACACCTAAAGAATTAACAATGATTCCTTAATATCATCAAATATCCAGTCAGTTTTCAAATTTCCAACTGTCTGATAAATGTCATGAATTTTTTTAACACTTTGCATCAGGATCAAATAAGGTCCCCACATTACAGTTGGTTAGTATGCCTTTGTTTTCATTTTTATTTCACACCTACAAAGATTTATAAGAACTGTACAAAGAATTCCCATGTAACTGTAAAATGGTACAACCATTGTGGAAAGCAGTATGGCGATTCCTTCAAAAGTTGGAAATACAAATACCATTT